TCGAATCGTTAATTTGACGGAAGTACGCAAACTCTCGACGAGATTTTTATTGAATTCCAATGGTGTCAGGGTTGACGTCATTATCTTTATAAAATATATACATTATAAAATATATACATTTGCAATAAATCTTTTATAATAAAAAATCACTAGAAAAAGCAATGCTTTCTCAATGTTACTTTCTCGTTCCTAACGATTAGAAAGTCAAAGATTCATTGATGACGCGATTAAAATAATATATTAAAACAAAAATCATTTATTTCGTACATTGACACGTTATTGGCAAAATATAATAAAAAATCAATACTCCATAGAAAAATTAACTATCCATATGTGTTAGAAGATATCAAACTAATGAATTTCAAAAATAACCACGTAGGTACTTACATATTGACGTAAATGTACGCAAGGGAAGTGCGTCTCGAGTTTACCAGCAAGAGATAGTAAAAATTTGATCCCAACGAGCATTGTCGTCCCGTTGGCAAAGGCGTCATAGAAACCACGGTATGGATCGAGAAAAAAGAGGCGAATATGCGAAAATGTGAGAGTCGAGGACGTAAGCCAAACCGCGATAAAAGGTACTCTAAATAAAGTGGCGTATATATGGTAATCGTGCGATAGGAAGAGACCCCGAGAAGGAGAAGAATGAGGAGGTGGAGAAGTAAAGGCGTCTTGGGAAGGCGTCGAAGGTATCCTATCGGTTCGATAGCTCTCGGTGGGACGACAGTGGATGGCAAGCGGAGGTTAGAAAGGCTGAGTATGTACCATCTCGATATCTAATATCGGCCGTGTACCTTTACGTCGTCGGTATCGGTTTATGTTACTCGGATAATCCTCCACCCTTCTCTCCCTTCTTTCCTCATCTCATCGCCCTCCTCGTAACTAAAACTTCCGCGTAAACGGAACGCATTTCGCGTTCGGATAAAAGTGCGCGGAGACACGTCATTCCATTGAAACGTCCCTTCTACTTCTTTCGTATCTTTTCAAAATTTCTAACGATAACAACAGTTTTTACATATATCTAATACGTAAAGTACATATTCGTATACAATGAGGAAAATGGATTCTGAAACAAAAAGAAAAAAAAGAAAAAGGATGAAAAAGTATGACACACATAAGCTCTCAGACGGTTGCATTGAATTTCAACCAGAAAGTATTCATGTTTCGGAAGGTTGATAAGTAACACCTACTGTAGTTTATAAAATAAAATTGTTATTATACTTCAAAAAAATTAGCACAGAATTTAATATGGTTAGACTTCATTTTATATCACTCTTTCCTTCTCTCTCTCTCTCTCTCTCTCTCTCTCTCTCTCTCTCTCTCTTTCTATCTATCTATCTATCTATATATCTATCTCTATCTATCTCTACCCATCTCTATCTTTATCTGTCAGAATTAATTTCTCGTGCAACTACGAAGGTAGAACATTTTTCACATTGATTCAAATAACATTGCTCTTTTTTACCTTCACATCAGCAGCACGACGGACGGACATTAGTGTTTTACGATCCGATCGATACTCCTCGTAGCAGGTTTCCACGTTAGAACGTACCACCCTATGCATTAAAGGCCTGCTTTCGTACATTTTACCCGATAGCCTTATCGTGTCATGATTTATTTCATGTTGCTCTATACTTTCTACCTTTTTTTTCCATGCGAAACGTTCGAATAAAGAGAGATCTTTAAATCAAACTGGCTTGAAATGAGATCGTACGAAAAAAAAATAAGAAAAATAGAATAATAAAAAAAGTAAAATAAAAAAAAAAAAAAAAGAAAAATACGAAAACCAATAAAAAAGAAAAGAAAAGAAAAGTCCATCGATTTCACAGAACCAACTATTTCGAAATGACGTTTCAACGAAAGTGAAAAAAGAAGAAAAAGAAACGAAAAAGAAAAGGCTATTTAACATTCCGTCTCATTTCCTGCAAGCTCTTGACATGGCCCGTAGAAGAGAGAACCCAAAGGTTCGCACTGGATGCGAAAATTGCTTTGGCAAGAATTATCGACTATAAATTACTCGGCTTGCTATTCTAACTTCTACGTTCCACCGTTACTCATGCAAATGACGAGGCGTAGAGCGCTGTACGCATATCCCGCGGTCGAGATGTTACGTATCCTTCGGACACTCGTCGCTTACCTTCAGGTTATATGGATTCGAAATGGAATGAGGAAAGAAGAATGAGAGAGTGAGTACCGAAACACGCCTCGAGGAGATGTAACTCACAATATCGGGGCGCGAATTGCCAGCGCATTTACATTTTATTGCGCCGGAGCCAAGACAGACGACTGACTTTATCTTTCTCCTCCAACTCACTCTGACAATTTCTAACACTTGACGAATCTCTTTTCTCTCCGTCTATTTATTTACTTCGTTCGATAGGGACAATGCCAAATCTCATGATCGAGTAGTATTGTCTCATTCGAGATAGACGAAAAATATCATTTCGTTGTTCGAAACTTTATCGCACGATTGATAAAGATGGGAAATAAGAAATAAAATGTTACAATGAAAAAAGGCTAAGTTAATTGAACCCAATAAAAAGTGAACAAAAAAAATTAGGATCTCCTCGTTAATCATATAAAGTAAAATTTTTCAACGTACCAATACTCCTTTTATATTTATCATAAAAATATATTCTTAGGTAGGCATAGATAGATAGATAGACAGATAGAGAAAGAAAGAAAGAGAGAGAAAGAGAGAGAGAAGAAACAAGCGATCCTATAATTTCGATCAAAAAGATACGACACGCTCGTACCGGTGTAACTATTTGAGAACTCATAAGAAATCATAAATTATACACATCCTTCCTATTATCGCGTCGCGTACCATTCCCCTCTGTTATTATACATACGTTATCGCACATACGAGCGCAACTATTTGCCACATTACCGCTCTTTATTAAAAACTTATATATATTTTTGACGACGACGTTAAAATGCGACGTCGTCGAGGTCTTACATGGTTCAACCAACGTTCGCACGCTTTCTATATATTCCTTTCTTTCCTTACCCCTCCCCGTCTCTCCGATCCCTTTAAATCGTTTCAATCTTCAAAGACATTCAAGTCAATTTTTGTGACGATGTCTCGATAATAGACATATGAATTGTATGCAAACGAAAGATAATTGAGACGATCGTGCTCGACGTTTGTATATTGCGTGGAAATGTTGATTTATCCATCGAAATGCCGTCTAAGTGGAATATCATTGATTCGTTCGTTTTCTCGAAGAGAGAACGATAGAGAAGAAGATGATGATGAAGAAGAAGAAAAAGTAGAAGGAAGAGCAAGAGGAGGAGGAAGAGGAGGAGGAGGAAAATGTAGAGAGAGCTTGCTATTGTGCTGCCTCTAAATTGAATTTTTTTCAATTCATTCCACTTCGCGGATGCCGAGAGAGGTTTCGAAGTCGATGGGTGTCTGCGCGCGACAGCGGTACCTGCTCGCCGTAAATTCTCATTATTTTTAAATTGGAAATGAGAAGTGTACGCGCGTGCTACGGAGAGAGAAAAAGAGAGGAAAGAAAAAAAGGAAAAAGGGACGGAAAATGCCTTGATAAAAAGAGAAAACGGAGGGTACATTATTCCGAGTAAACGCCTATTCTTACGTGAGAAGTGTCGAAGAAGTTAAGTTAATTACGTACCGACTTGTCGATAGCAGCCAGGCTATCGTACGAAAAACGACGTAAAATGGAGAGGAGCAATTTGACAAGAACGTTTTTGTTTCTATAATTGGTCGTTTGAATTTTATCAGATTAACCAATCTCGCATTTTCAAAATTTTCTCCTAAGAAAATGATATAATAGGACACTGGAGAATCCAAATATTTATAAATATTTTGATTTAAAAGAAATCATTCAGCACAAAATCAATATATACATAAATAGATGATACATAAGTATAAATATTTAAAGAAAGTAATAGAAACTAATTAAATTATCTACTTCATTGTTTACTTTCGATTATATCTAATTTCTATTCTTTTATACTTTCGATTGTAGCCGCTGTTTCTGTATTTTTTATCTGCTATCCTTTCGAAATTTTACCAATACATATGTTCTTATAAACCTATAAAGCTTCTCTTAATTACTTTCTCAATTTACTGACTCTATTTTAATTATAATATAGATTATTTAGATCGCTACCTTAACAAGTGAGAAAATATATTTCTTAATAACATCCTTGAACATTTTCTAATTTAATTTTGTCCTACTCGATAAAATCATTCGTTCCATAACTTATGATGTATAATTGAATAAGCAAATTTCTTAGCATTTTTATAAATACCTGTTAATAAATTGTATGTTTCCTATATCAATTTATTATATTAAACACTGAATTATGTTCTTCAGATACAAAGTAAAACCATATGCGTTATTAACTGAAAAATAACAAAATTACCTGCTTACATAGTTGCCATCGTTGCTCCTGTTTATTTTGAATTTCCTCATCTTCGTTAATGGAAATGGACTACACAATAATTATCACTGAATTCGATAGAACGTGAAAAAATACAATCAATGATAAAAGGAACCAACGTATTATCTATTACAAGCAAAGATCAAATCTGAATTTACGATATATATCGTTTGTAACTTATTGCATTATTGTAATTACGACAGATATCGTTTTTAATTGTTTACATTATTCTAAAATTAAAAATATATTGATAAAACCTAGAAGCGAATATCGCGTAGAGCTAAAAAGATCACTCGTTATAGATCATTATAAAAAGATAAGCAATGTTTTTCGTAGCAGCACTCACAATTTTCTTACATCGGGCATCCATATTTGGCGCGCGTTTGGATTTAAACGACGCAAGCGTCACAGTGGTCGTTTTTCGAACTACTTTATATTTTGGTCTTTAAGTATAATTATTAGGTAAATTAGGTAAATAGAAAAGATCATTTACATAACATTATGTATAATACTAATGCTGGTTTATAATATAATTTCAAGTCGAGTATAATAACTTAATATATGCATGTAACGGCACGCACAAGGAATAGGCAAAATTAATGTTTATTCAATCAAGTACGTGACAATAGTTTGTATCGTGATATGAAGATATACAACAGATAGTTTCAGCTCTGTTTTCATCTAAATAATTACCAATCGAAGATTACAAGCACCGTGTATGAAAATGATTCGAGGAACGAAAACGAAATTAGTTAGCTAAGTTTAAATATAACTGAAACTACATTTTATATATCGAGAAATTATTTTCAAACAGATCTTTGCAGGTTCCGATGCGACAGATAAGTAGTCGAAATCTGTAAAGTATGATATTTTACCGTGTACAACGGAAGTTGTGGAGTATATTATATTATCAAACACTTAAACGGTAATATATATATATCTCTATTCCTTCATAACTATGGCACATTTAACTACAGTTCCATTATTACAACAAAAAACCACTTTCACAGTAGTCCGAAAAAACACTTTCTCTTTTCGAACTGAAGAAACGTTCATTCCCTTCGTGTGAGCGTTAAAATAGCCTTCCACTTATGAATTTGTTATATATATATATATATATATTTTTTTTTTTCTTTCTTTTTTTTGTCTTTTTTGTCTTTTTTTTTCTTTTTTTTTTCTTTTTCTTTTTTTTTTTTTTAATTATTAATATACTATCATTAAATCGCTCGCATGCAGAATCTCCGATTTCCAAAGAGCAATGATTCTAGATGTATGTAGGATAGCGCAAATGTAGTGTACCTACCGAACAACCGAAAGTTTTATTCGATCCTTAGCCTCGAATAACATGTTTCCATTATTATATTTTTCTCGTAAATGTCGCCTATTAAGTCTCCAACGACTCGCCGAGTTCGCGAGTTTTGTACTAATAATTGATAGTGAAGACATCCCACGATATAATAACGGGATTAATTCAATGCGATTTGAATATATTGTCCAAGAAAGATCATACCACGAAGTTTAAACAACTCGAAGAATGCATTCTAGTTAATCGTCTGTAGGATGCATTTATAAGTATTAATGCAAGTGATTAGTACCATTAACATCGACTATACAATTATTGCTATGGAAGCAGTACGTCGATTCAGAGCCTCGATAAATTCAATTGAATTTTTTGCACCCGCACAAGCGCGCGCCCGGAACGCACGTGTGTGTATATCATATATTGTCTTTATGTTATCTAGTCTATACGTACAGTTAAAATTAGAATAGTTTGCTCTTCCGTGCCATTTATGCATTACAAATTCAGTTGAATTCACCAACGACGCTGAAGTAGCGTAACTTATAACACATTATTTATAAACAGCTTTTTATAACGCATAATCTTTCCTACTTTGTGTATGTATGTGTGTGTGTATGTGTGTCTGTGTGTGTGTGTGTATTCTTTTTTTTTCTCATTCCATTATATATATATACATTAGCGTGTCTAGCGATAACTACAATTCGATAACAATTATACATTCTTATCGGCGTGACGTGTTTCGCAGTATACCTTTTCCTACTACAAAACTCGCCTCCGTGGATAAAATATATACTTCATCGTTTGATATTTTATCCAATCCTCTGCATGTTCGACTAATTAACTATATTTTTATTGTCAATACATTCGGAGGATAAAATCGCTGCGCCTTGAATTTCTGCTGTCTTTGATAATTCCATGTCCCGTGATTAAATACCTATCTTCTTCGTGAAAAATGAGACAAGAAAGTAAAACGATGTTATATCGTTTCACTCGAATTCCACCGTTGTCGCATTTTTTTTCCCCTTATTTCATCGACAATAAAGAAAAGCGTAATGTAAAGACGTCATAAATGGCGCAGGACATCCGAATGAATCAACGAGTACCATCGATTAAAAGGCGAATTATTTCGTAATTGCTCGTATTGACTCCTGTATCGTCGTCTCACTCCTTTATATGATTTTTAAGCGATTCGTACTATAAGCTCATATCGAACCGCCTCTTTCATGTCTTAATGTTTTCTTGAATAAAGATTATGATCGATGTTGTTGTTGAAGTGACCTTGTATATGTAATCGCTTTATTATCTACCATCCATTCAATTTCGTCTTGCTAATGTGCGTACCTATAACCTGTGACCAGCACAGATGATCATGTGAATGTGTTGTTTGTGTATATGCGCATGTGTGTGTGTGTGTGGAAACTGTGTGTATGCGTATATGTGTGTATGTGTATGTGTATGTGCACGCGCGCAGGGAGCTTTCCTTATCATCTCGATCCTATACTTTATTCGTTCACACATTCAATTTTTCTTTTTCTCTTTCATATTCCTTTTTATCTATTAATATTTCTCTCTCTCCCACTCTCTCTCTCTCTCTCTCTCTCTCTCATACTTCCACTCTAATTCACTCTTTGTCCCTACATACATGTTTCTCATAGAGCATACACTTGGAGCTTGTAATACGGTTAATTTTGCTTTCTTATCAAAGAGAGAAGAATTCATGAATGAATCGCAAATGCCAACTTCTTGCATATAATTTCCATACTCGTCCATATGAATCGTATCCGGATTCGAATCAAGCGATACTCTCATAGCTGGTACCATTTCTTATCCTTGTACTTTAGCATCAGACCGTGTGCCGACGTTGAAAAGTTTTCAGCCTCGGACATCATGCGAGCCGTTCGTTCTTCAAGGTGCGACAACTTCTCTCCACGCTCCACTACCATGTGATGCGCCTGAGCAATTTCACCGGTGATTCCTGTAACGCGTTCTCTCATATTTTCCGTGCCTGCATTTGGACCAGGGATGTGTTTAGCAACTGTACGAGATGCACGACCACTCGATTCGCCGACTGAAATGTACCAATTCTCTCTCGGTTAAACTGCATAATTTAATTGTGTTTTATTAAGAGCATAGAAAATGATTGTACCTACATTTTAATGAATTCTTAAATGGAATCACTAAAGAGTATGCTAATTATCTTATAGGTAAACAGCTATAATATTTTGGGATTTAAAGCTTTTAAATATATTATGTCTACGAAGCGTGCTGCGTGTAACATATTTCTCAGCGAAAGGCAAACATTTTATAACATTTTATTACGTAAGCATAAAAGAAGAAAGATAAATAATATTTTGGAAGGAAATGCAACTTACACAACTCTTCTCTATCGAGACTTCTCGAACCACCGCCGAACAGGCCCCTAAAGAAACTTTCCTTAGGTGGTTCCGGCATATCGTGACCGATAAACAAATCTCCCATCATTTCGGTCAATTCTCCGCTAAAAATGACAAGCTTCGTAATTTCGAATAATTCAATAATACGTGGATGACTTTTTATAAACTTTTATCGAAGTCAACTTTATTATTTGTACGGGTAAAATAATTTTATTCGTTGCCCTACCAGAATTCGCTTGATATTGAAAACTTCTGTATCTCCGTAGGCGAGGACAGATACAGACCGTGGCCACGATTACTGAAGCAAAGAGTCTTCGCAATCCTGAAAAAGAAGATATTCGTACGGATTTTACCGTGACGTGCAGATTTATTCATACCACTTTCTTTCTTAGATAGAAAATAAATGATAACAGGGCTGAATAATAAATGCGTTTAATGTGCGTTTGCATACATAGCATCAAGCTTCGCTGGGTGAATAGATTATTAGCTCGAAAAAGACTTTAGAAGGAAGGAAGTAAATAATATGTATATATGTTGCTGATATGTGCTGAATGATCCATAACATTTAGAAAAAAATTAATGGGGGTAAAAAGAATATAAATGACGCGGATAAGGTAGGATATATCACTATGTATCATGTAACATAGATTATTGGGAGATTTGTTATTTCATAAATGACTTACTGATCGGTATCGCCATTAACAAACAGTTGATGACCCCATATGGACAACATGGGGTCTACAATGCCGTGTTTTGTAGTCTGAAAACTGTTAGAGATTACAGAGACAGGAGGAAGGTAAGCAGCCGACCGTAACGAGCGTTAAAATAGTTATTAATTAAATCGTCTGACAGTATATTTATAAAGCTGTCTGCCTAGGTCTTCGAGCGCGAAAAAAAAAGTATGTGAAAAACCTTGCTCGCATGTTCCTGGCTGCGCGATTTCTACATTCTCCAACGATATCATAATAATAAATGAAATATAATTAACGTTGGTATACAATATGTATATATTATTTACATATATATATAGATGCGTTATCGACCTAAAAATGAAAGAATCTTTGAATTCTATATAAGATGCGATTGTACGAAGATATAAACGGTGCGATAAGAGTGCTCGTATAAAAAAGTTCTACACAGGGCATGCCGTGAGTGTGTCGAGGATAAACGAGTGCTTTGATTAGTATCGTAGACGAGAAAAGTCGCATGCCATATTAGTTTTCTTCTACTCCTCTAATAATTCGAAATCATTGAGTAAATTTGTACAAAATTCTACGAATAACATTGCCGATAAAACCGAAATATATTTTATCACAGAGCATTGAAATTTCTTATTCGTTCGTATATAATAAACCATATACGTATATATCAAAGGATTTGCATTGCAATTTATATTTAGCATAAAGCTTTATATGTATGTATATATTTTATAAATTCAAATAGCAATAATGCGTTTCGTCCGCACTATTCGATAAGAGCCAAGCCATATTTGAATTATGTATTATTCGACTCCATGCACCAATAAAATTCAATGTATATTACAAATATTTAAAATTTATATAAAACTCGAAGCAATTTTGGTGCAGCTTGAAGCTAAAAATTTGGAGTATTTTACAATCACGAGATACTTAATAGAACAATTTTAAATATAGCAATACTGCATCAAAGAGCATTAGAATAATCTGCTATAAAAATTTTAAAGTAAGCATATAAAATATTATACCGTGCGGATCTTCGCAAGATCTTCGATAGATCTTCGCAATGAAATCGCAACTATGAAGCTTTTTATACAATATAATTATATTATATTATATAATATATTAATATTTATCTGTATAAATAAATCTTGTTTCTATGCAATCAAATATATTCATGAGCTTTGCTTAACCGCTTGAATTACCGCTTGATACGTATTAACTTTAGGCCTAACGTCCATTTGAAAGCAAAACATTACTAGTAGATTGTTAACTATTTGATTAATAATATTTTATATTATATCGATTAATAATATTTAACTATTTGATGAATAATAAGCATTAGTAGCCCAAATATAAATTTGTATAGCTATATAATAACCAATAAACAATTATTATTACAATAAGTTTTTAAACGTAGAAGCGCGTATAAGTTAGTTCAAGAAAATCGACAAATTCTTGTAGCATTGCTACAATAAAATGACCATTAATAGGCAATCCGAAAAAAAAAATTACTATAATCAGTCATTTTGCTTACCTCAAATCTGTAAGCGGTAGAAAATCGACGTCTATTAGCAGCCTGAGACTAGGTAGACTATACGTAGATACGTGACCATTTGAGACGTAACATACTAGGCAGACATTATCTGAAAAATTCAATTATATTATATTTCAATCTGTATTCTGAATAAATTGTTAATAATTTATTTATCAAAAGTGATGCAGAAAAATATAGAAAAGAAATGTTCCTCTATACAGAAAAAGTTATGCTTGCAAATAGAACGTTGTTGTGCGCCGTAATAAATAAAACTAATCTAAAAGACCGTCTGTCATGTGTTAACCATCCAACAATGGTGGTTGAAACTAAAATACGACACCATGATGTTTCATTGAATAGAATTCAATTTCAACGACGAGCAAACTGAGAGAGAAGTTCTTGTTACCTTTCAAAGTCGTAACCTCTGCCTTGATTACAATATGAGTCTCTGCCAATTGTTGTCTGTAGACGCAATCTTGAGAGGGTAAAGCCACGACCCTCGCTTGCTTCTCAGACGTCAGGACGACAAATTGCCGATCCTCAAAACCATCCCCGGTTGTAACTTGAGCGTTCAAGGACGGTGATAATCGGCTATTGCATTTTCCTTGGTTCTCTTTAACAAGCATCAAATACAGTTATCCGCTATTCTATTTCCCCGTCAGGAACAGTATTCGATTCATTCCGAACGAATGTTAACACGTTGAATGTAACGTGCCTCGCAAATAAACTACGTCGGCATTTTCACATTTATTGATATTGACAATGATATTGAAATGATTACGCGATATTTTATAATGTCAATGACTCATAAAGAATATAATATGTGAATTTCTTTTATATAAGAATGAATGATCAATTACGATAAAACGTATAAGTTCGTTCGACGTTATAGAAAACAACAAATTAATAATTATTGATCTTTATAAATAATATAATATAAAACATTTACGATATTATTCATTGTTAAAAAATATATTTCTACTGTAAAAATATATTCTTACTGTTACGTTCTTTTCCTCCATCGACGTTCTCATCTCTCCAGGATTCAAAAGAATATGGTATCAATGCGCCATTGCAATCCAAAAATGACATCGACAAGATACAACCCTTCAACTTGAACGTCGATCCATCTGTTTATAAAAAGAAAAAAAAAAAAAAAAAAAATTAGAAGCCGACGTATGATTTTATAATTGGCATGAAATTTTACCATCTAATCGTAATATCTTACTACATGTCGAAACAACCACAGGATATGAATGTCTCTCGCCTGGTACAGGTGGATTAAATACGATGGTTGTATGGACCCCAAAGACGTACCAACCCATAAAGTGGGTAAGGTGCTGGTATCTTGAAAAAATTCGATACACACACAAACATACATATATATATTACAATAAATTATTACTAAAATAATGTGTATAGTAAAATCGATTTATACATACACACACACACACACAAAGAGAGAGAATAGTTATAAAGCTCCTAGCAAATGAAATCTTTAATATTACATTAAGGGATAACTAAATAGATTTAACAAGTAACTCAACTTACCGCTTTTCTTCGTATAGGAGTCAGCGAACGTAAGGCAGCTAATGGTTTCCGTGGTGATGTTCTCAAGCGAAGACATGCTTGAGCTCCGTGATCGTTGAAAGGAACCGTCAAATTTGTCTATCCGGCCAGCGATCCCAAAAATAAACTGACGATTACATACAGAATGTGTAGTTCGTTTAATCTGTCTACAAGCGTCATGCACAACATACTACATATATACTTTCAACGCTTCGTACTTCAACGTGATCATTTGATAATAATTAAATTATATCTGATTCTAATATTCATCGATTTTCGTTAAATCATTTTACATCGAAACGTGAAATGATTTAATAAAAATACAATTCATGATCACCGATTAGAACGGACATAAGTTGAAATTATTCACTGTATCGATGTAAACGAATTTATAACAAAAGATCGTACGTTCATAGAGACAGATTACAACGATATTAAGATAAATATAATACAATAAATAACAATGATACAATAATATTACAACAACGGGAGCGCCAGCTAAAACAACAACAATATCGACGCAATTTTCAAACGTTAAGGAACAGCGACAAGAACAAGTAGCATGAGCATTAGCAACGACAATAACAGCAACACAATACTACCATGACTTCTTGATTCGGCAATCGGCATCGTAACATCTTTCATCACATCGCATCACACTCATCGACCGATTCGTTAATATCTACTATATGTATGTATATGTATAATATATATATATATATATATATATATATACATTTACATATATATATATATATATATATATATATATATATATACATTTATATATATATATATATATATATATATATATATATGCGATCGTCAAACTCGCTACAGGAGGTTTTATCGGATGGAACACGTCATTCTAGTACTAAAAAAAAATAGTCAAAAATAAGGAAACCCTTAAGAATCCAAACTCTTCGAAATTCGAATGCTCGGATGTGTATCGTTTTTTTATCGGAAGCACAAGCTCTACGAGTACACGCAGAATGATCATTGACCATCGATTACGGGCCAGCATAATAACACGGCTAGGGATTAGCATCGAATGCAAGGTGATTCTTCGAAATACAGGCTTCGGATATGTATTACGATAAATGGAGAACCTCTTTCAACGAGCACGTGCGCGAGTACTAAATACAGTCCTCGACTAGGTGCAGGCTTTTCTATCGATATCGAGCAGGTAAAGATTTTAAGGGTAATTTTGATTTTGTATTCGACGAGGCTGAATTAACATCACCGGCCGGTTCAACTTTCTTACGATAGAAACGTATAAAATATTTTCTTTCGACGAAGTTTTACATCTGAAAAGAGGAGGAGGGGAAGAGAGAGCGTCGACAAAATGAAAATGAGGGTAGCAAAGTGCCCTGCGGTGCGTTGTTTTAATCTGTGGAATAAATTTATTCTGCTGATTTGATTCCTTCCTTCCAAAGTGTCTCTCTATCTTGTCCGTAATACCTATGTATGTATACGTATAGGAGGTATCTGTTTTGCTGAAAACATTAAAATACTATTCTTATGATATATTATTCAAGACGTTTACGTTTACACGATAAATTACAATAAATTTTGGAACGGTGTCAGGATCGAGCCAAGATAGAAAGTTTTAGTATATGTATCCAGGATGCCATATAAGATCTTACTAACGATATCTTACACCGTCAGAAATTGTCGGATCTCGTTCGGTAAGAGATTCTACGAGATCTAATTATCGGTTTTCAATGCATCCTCGCACAGTTCCGATTATAAATTGCTCAATCCTGTATCCGTTCCTAAGTCAAAGACGCGCAATTTATACGCGTAAAGTTTCCTTATTTAAAAGTCCATTACCTCGTGACAACACGACGCATACACATACATATTGATTTATTCGTAGAGATGGTCATCGTTTTCAAATAGAAAATGTAGATATGATAATATATAGATATATATATATATATATATCATGTAATTAAATAAAAATTGCGTCTACATTTTCATTGAATATTCTTGAAAAAGCTTTTCAAAAAAACCGATGTATGCGTATATATATAAATTTTAAGGTAATTCCATTATAGTTAGCTCACTTCTTTAATTTTTCTACTTTTTCTCTCGTCCCTCGGTTTTCTTTCTTCTTCTCTTCATTTCTAACGACAGGCGACAAAGTACGCTTTGTCAATGAAACGCTCTGAAGAGTCCACCGTCGCGACCGGGATTAATTACTTAAGACTTGCCGAGAATGCTGCAAGATACGGTATTCATCTATTCTAGCGAGCGGTACGAGAGAGAAAGAGACAAAAAGGGTGGGGAAAAGAGAGAGAGAAAGAGAGAAAGAGAGAAAGCGCGAACTTAACGTGTCGCTAACGTATCGTAACATCATCTCGCGTACATACACATATGTATGTATATGTGGACAATGTACGTAAATGTGGAAAGCTGTACGAAACGTCACATATGGAAATGCAAGCGCGCGACAATATTTCGTAACGCCTCGTGAAATTCAACGCGTTCTTCTGGAAATTTATATATTCTCACGCCACTCTGTGCATTCGCGACGATTATCGCGAATTAATTAATCGCGAAGAAAACCTCCCTCCATATCATCAAAACGATTTAACGTGCGAGAAATAAATTATAACATCGAATAGAAAGAAAAAAAAATATCTATTAGAATTAATATATTTGCTTTAATAAATAAAAAAGAAAAAGAAAAAAGAAATGGAAGAAAAAGAAGAAGAAAAATAACGATTTCATCGTACTTTCATATAACAATTTAGCAATTGAAAGTTAGAATTATTATGGATCCTTATTCAATAGGTTAAGTGACTTTCGATAATATATGTGAATATTCGAAAAGCTCGAAGGACAAAAGACATTTAACGCGAATCAATAAAGAGGTCTTTGGAATTGGATGGCATACTTCTTTATGGTTCGCCGAGCGTGCAACTTGAAAATTTTACTGTAGACGTGTGCCCACTCGTTTAGCTTAGCTCGAATTCCCTCGAGACAAAAGGGACTCTCGGTGAAGACTCTTGTTCGAGTTTCGATCGAACTACGAATGTTATCTTATCGGATGGGATAGATATATACATCTCTTCTCCTCTCCTCTTCCTCCGTTCGGTGGTATACACGCGTGCGCGCGCACAAAGTGATACAGATCGATATCAATACAGTCCTGTCCTACTGTAGGAGGCTCCTTGTCACGGATCCACACCTTGAAATACGCGATTGATTATACGCGAAACGGCGCCGATTACGTTCCGCGAATATGAGAGTTAGAACAGATTGAAGCGTCAATCCGATGCATATAAAACAGATAGCATCGTTTATCCGTTAAACGGACCAGATATGAACGGAGTGGATAAACTTACTTGCTTATGCAAGATGCTAATTCGAGATACATGCTCTCGTCTTTCTAAGCTCTTAAAAAGTGTCTTCCACAGTTATTTACATTTTCGAGTGACACTTGAAGCTTGAATTAATTAAAGCCCATAGAAGAAGTGAGGCAACTCGAATGGTATCTTAAAGATGTTATCTCGTTGCCATAAAGGGAACGAAAAGAAAAGAAAAAAAAAAAAACAAGAAACAGATAAAAGAAAAGAAAAGAAAAGAAAAGAAAACCAGAAAATTACTTTTAAAGTTGTTTGTCTCACGTGCGAGCTCACTGAAAACTTTTTCCTTCTTATTTTATATGTACTTAACTTTATCGTCCCAGTTAAAGAAAAAAAAAAGAAATGAAGAAAAAATTTAAAATGATGCAAATCAATTGTTATTGAATTGATTGCCGTAATCGATCAAATTTCTGCACTTTTTTTTCTGTTTATATTTATTCACGATATCATCTAATATTAAGGATCTACGGTTGTACACTTTACACACACACAAAGGCTCGTTAATGCACAACACTTCCATTTCCCCAAGACCTCGAGCGGTCCAAAACGCGCGCGTGCAAGTATGTACTCGAGAATGTTAACGTTAACAACTACGTCAAAACAGTGTTTGTGCCTCCTATATTCTACATCCAGACAAGATACACCATTACGGATTATGCAACGTCAGACCACATCTATTATTAAATAAAATAAACAAGCAAGAGTTCGGTGAGTCGTCAAAGAGTGAAGGCAATTAATAAACGGAAAGAAAGATCATCATTTTCGAAGGGTGCAAGTGCAACAGCTAAGTATATCTCAAGCGATTTATAAAATGTGCCGCTTTGTATTTTTTTTTTTTTTTTTTTTTTTTTTCTTTCATTTTTTATGTTCGTTCCCATCTAAAACAAGACTTCGCATTGCCGAGTAGACGAGTGTAATGTAAAAGACGGTGGTAACAAAACAAGAAAAAAGGGTGCAGATAGTATTAGAGCCACTAGAAAAAGAGAGAGAGAGAGAGAGAGAGAAAGAGAGAGAGAGAGAGAAAATACATTGACACTGACATCGGCATGAAAACCAGAGATACTATCAATCACAGACAATCAGGAAAGTGTAGGAAGAAGTAGATGTGTTCGCAGAAACGGCGTTGCTAAATCGAACGTTGAACGATAGACTCTTCGATGAACTTAGATTCTTCTTATCGTTTATCTTTTCGACAACGACGTTTGATCAGTTAAAAACTCTCTCGCTTAGAATATATTCGAACAGGACAACGGAATGGACATAGCAACGCCGCGCAAAAATGCTAGCGCGCAAAAATGCTTTTCGACTAATCTCAGAGATCCTCTGATAATTTGTAGAAGATATGCTGTTTCATGAGATGAGAAGAAGATAGATTTAAGAGATGGAGAAGGAAAGGAAAAATATAGAGAATATGATAGTGTAAAGGAAAGAAGAAAGTAGATGGATTAAAAAAGAAGAAAATTAGTAATAGCGAAGAGAAAAAGAAAGAGAGAGAGAGAGAGAGAGAAAGAGAGAGAGAGAAAGAGAGAGAAAGAGAGAGAGAGAGAGAGAGAGATAGCTAGAAGATTAGAAGATTGATGTCTCAGTGATTGATGCAATCGACACATCATTAAAAACAATCGTTCTAAAAATGACGATACTACCGAGGCTGCTATATTGCCTGGTGTTGATCAGAATGTTCTGGTAGTTGGAAGAAGGCTGGTGTCCGGGAGACGAATAGCCACGCGCGTCGTT